CCATTGTCCACACTTGCTCTCTGGTTAATTGTGGCCTGGCCACACCAGGATGGTTACAGGTAAATAAAATCATGCCTGTCCCCGCTCCAGTTCCCAAGGCCAAATTCCTTAGGCAGGCAATGGAGCACAGGCAGTTGAGCAGTGCCAGGCAGTGTGGTCAGATGTGTGGGTTCTGGCGTCAGTGTACTTAGCATTCACATCTGGATTCCACAAAAGTTGGCTTTCACCAAACGCAGTCCCCCTGAGCTTCAGATTCCTTATAGAAAATTTTATCTATTCCCAGGGTTGCTGGAGGGATTAGGGGAATCACCCACATAAAGCTCTCAGCAGACCGCCTGTATGCAGTAAATGCTCGGGCATTATTTCCTACCTCACTGAACAGGAGAGCATACAGGCAGTGATGAGCAGTTTCTAAATTAATCTATGGCAGGAGTATGAAGTGGGGTCCAACAGCCCCCTGGAATTGTGTGCCAAAAACTGTATCTGCACTTTTCTTAAAGAAGCATCTTTAACCTTTGTCAGATTCTCATTAAGATCTGTAGCCAAAAGGAGATTAAGATCTTTTGACTGTAGGGGGCACCTGGGTGGCTCAGTGGTTGAGCGTCTGTCTTTGGCTCAGGTCATGATCCCAAGGTCCTGGGATCGAGTCCTGCATCAGGCTCCCTGCATCTCCCTCTGCATGTCTCTGCATCTCTCTCTGTGTCTCTCATGAATAGATAAGTAGAATCTTTAAAAAAAAAAAAAAAAAAGATCTTTGTAGACCCAACTTCCTACATTATAACTATTTCTGAAATAACAGGATTAGCAAATGTTCCTCAAATCATGAGAGAAGTTGCTGAGTCCTCTCAAAGTGGCCTCTTAGCCACCGGGCCTCCAGTACTTATCAGAGCCCCCAGAAACTGTGCCCATAGAGTTCCCAGGTGGTTCCTGGAAGAAGGTCTGAACATACACCACAGAATGAGCAGGAATTAGGCTTCAGGAACCTTCTCTGGCAGGGCCAATTCAAACAATCCATTCTTCCTTGGAGAACAATCAGCATATTTGTTTTTGCATACCACTAAGTTAAATACACAAGGAATGCTGACCCTTTGCTGGGAGCTCCCAGAAGCACCCAGACTTACTCTGCTAAAGAAACACTGCTCCTAGGGGCTGCGGAGGCCAGAGCACCTGAGTCCCCACAGACCCGGCCCCTTCCCAGGCCAGCCATGCCTCAGGAGGAGGCTGCGGTGTTGTTGGAGCCTTTGGCCCAGTAGGCAGGGCCCAAGCTGCCCACTGGACCCTCTCTGGTTGTTGGGACAACTGTTCTCAGGAATTTCGGCCTCCCAGTCTTGCCCTGGGTGAGAAGGGAAGAGAGTTGGCAAGGCTGGCTGCCTGGCTGCTCTTCCAACCCGCTGGTGAAAGGGGAAGCGGAAAACTGGATTCCCTACCCCCAGCAGCCTCCAGGCCGGGACAGCACACAAAACAGCTCAGCCCCAGAGGGAGGAATGTGCCAAGACATTCTTCAGGGTTGGTAACCCGAGACGCTATTTTGTTCTTCGTGGCTAAGAAATCACTTTTCTGACTGAGGGACCGTTTGACTTACTTCTTTTAAATTCAAGGGAATGGGTGGGCATCGCCTTGATTCAGGTAAGAAAAAAGCCAAGACAAATGCAAAAACACACACACACACACACACACACACACACACACCCTTAAGGAGTAGAAATTCTTTTTTTTTTAAATGTCATCTTTTGTTTCACAGCATTAATGAAATGGGTTGCAGAGATGTAACTACCTTGGCAGAATTTATCTCCCCCACACCACCACCCCAAAGTTGTCTGGCTCTTTTTCGCTTTAATTTTTTTTCTTCTTCCTTGCTACAGTCCCCTCTCTCCTTCTGCCATGGAGTCAGGAGGGGTAAGACAAGGCCAAGGAGTCTGAAATCACATCTGAGACCTGGCAGGGTTCTGCGAACATCTTCTCACCAATGGAGAACCCATTTGTAGAGAGCTCAAGCAATTTATCCAAGACCATCTTCATATCCATGAAGATATTCAAGTAAGTCACACCTCTGGACCTCAAATTTTCTCTTATGTTTGAAAATAAGAGCTGGGCTCTGATCATCTATGTCCCTTCCAACTTTCAGGAGAGAAATTCCAGAGAGCCATGGGTGGATGCCCTCTGCTTAGCTTTCTCCCCAAATTTTCAGTTGGCCTACCATAACAGTGACCCCAAGGTTGCACTTGGAACACCTCAGCATCCCAAACTCCGGGGCCCCCCACCAACCCAGTATGAGAGGGATAACCAGAAGGTACAAAGATGCATTAAAACCAACTATTTGCAAGGTGAAGAAAGTGAGCGGCTCAGTTAAATGCCACTATGTTTTTAATTCCTCTCCAATACTTGTCCATCTGCCTAAAAAACAAAGGCTGGGCATACCTGTGGCTGGGTATGGGCAAGCTACCATACAGAGCTAAAATATAATGGCACTGGGTTGTTGTTTTTTTTTCCCTCCACTGGTTTTTTTTTTTTTGAAGATCCTTTCTATTTATGACAACAGATAATACTAGTTTCCCATTTGTGAAAGTGGTTAAAAATTTTTCATACTGAGGGGCACCTGGGTGGTTCAGTCGGTTAAGCATCTGCCTTTGGCTCAGGTTATGATCCCAGGGTTCGGGGATTGAGCAGCATGGTATGCTCCCTGCTCAAGGGGGAGCCTGCTTCTCTCTCTCCCTCTGCCCCTCTCCCCACTCGTTCTCTCCCTTTCTCTTTCTCAAATAAATAAAATCTTTAAAAATTTTTTCACGTTTAGTTGATTTAAAGTCAAATATTAAGTAAGCAATGGTACAAGTCAATATAGCAGAAAATCATGATGGTGGTTCATATGGTACTAAAATTTGAAAAATAATACTCTAGCCAAGTCAATTTTCCACTTGTCCTTTTCCAGGGGTAGAAAATTACCTGCTGTTTGAGAAGCTTTCTATAGCTGTATTATCCTCTCAGAGCCCCAGAGAAGTCCCTAGATTCACAACCGAGGGTGAGTTAGCAACGCTGGGTGTGGGGCTGTCCTAGTCCTCTGACATGCAACTGCTGACAGCACACTGGCCTCAGTAAGTTGCAAGGACCAAAACCAGGCAGGAAACAGAAGACTGAACTTATGTCTCTTCTGGAAGAGAACAAGGGGCTGCCCAGTTCTCCAACACGTAACAGCGTCCCTGGGACAGATGACCCTGAGTGGGGCAGGGAAGAGAAGTGAGTCAGGACAAATCTGGAGGTTAGAACTTCAGAGATGGTAAAGAATCTCTGTGGTGATAGAAAGTGGAAAGTGGAAAGTGAGTGGTGGAAAGATGAAGATATTCAAGTAAGTCACACCTCTGGACCTCAAATTTTCTCTTATGTTTGAAAGTAAGAGCTGGGCTCTGATCATCTATGTCCCTTCCAACTTTCAGAGTTCTACGATTACTTCTCTTCCAAACAAACCATTAATCTGACCAACGGGAACCTGAGGCTCAGAGGTTAAAGCAGCTTGCTCATGGGATGCTTTCTCTAGCATTAAAAATTTATCTTCCAATGCCACCAGACTGACTCAGTTGGTAGAGCACCCGAATCTTGATCTCAGAGTGGTTGAGTTCAAGCCCCACAATGGGCAGAGAACTTTTTCTTTTTTGATTTCTCTTCTAAATTATATCAAAGAGGCATCCAGCATGGTACTGAGAATAAAGCAAGCACCCAAGAAATGTTAAATGAATGAACTAAGAGCGCTCACAGAAATTACGGGGCATCTCAATTCAAATTTTCTTTCTGCCTTTTTTAAAACCCACACCTTGCTACACACCCCATCTTGGACTTCTGGGACCTGCATCCCAACCCTACAAGTCGAAAGATCCAAAAAATTCACCTCTATTGCGTTACAGGCACCTGAGACTCAAGGTCGCACAGACCAGGTGAAAATTCCACATTCCTAAGACACTGACCACAGACCAAGCCAACAAGGACAACAAAGCAATCTCAGAGGGTGGTCCTCTTCCTCCCCTTCTTCCCCCCCACCCCTACATGGGGAGGGTGTGTGCAAAGAAATGACAAGCAATCAAAACCGGGAGAAAGTCTGGAAGCTCTGAGCAGTCACCTCAGACTCCACCTGCCACAGAAAAAATAAAATAAAATAGAATCCGTGCTACAGTCGCTTGGTGCCCACCAAGGTCAGGACGCGCTGGTGCAGGACTGAGGAGTCTCGGTCCCCAGAGGAAGAAAGGGTGGAGAACGAGGTGATGGGCAGGGCTTTGTGGGAGGCCTCTCACCTCCATCTATATCCTAGCAGCTTCCAAGTTGCTCTAAGATTCCTGGAGAACCAGTCTTCCGATCAGCCCTCCCCCGCCCCTTCCTTTCCTTCCCACTCCCGGCCTCCAGGCCCCCTGGCTGCTCCCGTGCTCTTCCCCGAGCCTCCCAGGCACCTGTCAAAGACCACACTCCAGGCTGCCTTCCCCTCCGCCTAGTGTCCTTCCAGCAGTTTCCCACTGAATCCTGGGTCCCTACTACCCCCTCCAAACCAGATGCTTGCCCATCTCCCCCCCCACACACACACACACACGCTGGGGAAAGCCTCCCCGGGAAGCCCCAGAAACGCTCCGCTAGGTTGCTGCCCCAGCCCCCGCCCGACCTCGTCCTAAAGGGGGCGGGGGAGGCGGGGCTAGAGCTTAAGGTCAAAACTCTGAGCAGGTGCCGGCTGGGGCCTAAGTCCTCCATCGGGGACGGCGGCGGGGGCCGCCCGGGCCCCTGGCCGCGCCCCCCTCCAGCAGCCCACCCCGGCGGGAGCAGCGCTCCAGACGGCGGGCGCTGGGGATGGGGATGGGGCTGGGGATGGGGATGCGGGCGGGGGCGGGGGGGCGGGGGGGCGGCCAACGGAAGAAAGCGCAAGAGGCTCGCAGAGTTCCCCGGCGGCCCCTGCCCGGTCCCCGCGGGTGGCCCCTGGGGCAAGAGGGGTCCGGGCGGAGCGCGCGGTGTGGGGCTCCCCGGGGCCCTACCTGTCCCGCGGGTCGATCCAGCTGGTGGTGCGGCTCGTGTGGTCTATGTAGTAGACCTTGCCGTCGAAGTCGCGCGCCTCCTCCCAGCCCTCCGGCAGGGGCAGCTCCGGCCGGGGCATCTTCCCGAGCGCGGCCCGCGCTCCCCCATGCAGCTCCCGGCCGCCGCGGGGGCCCCGGCTCAGCGGCTCCGGCCGGCCGTGCCCAGCCCGGGCGGCCGCCGAGGCACCATGATGGGGGGGGAGGCTGGCGCCCGCGGACTGGGGGCCCTAGTGGGGGCCGGCGGGGGTGGCGCCGCGGTCCATGCGGCCCTGCGGCTCCGGCCCGCCGCTCCCGGGCTCCCGGGCTCCCGCGCTCCGGCTCCCGGGCTCCCGGGCTCCCGCGCTCCCGCCGCCGGCCTCTCACGCTGCCATGTGCGCCCGCCGCGGCGCGGTGCGGGCCCGGGGACGCGCCCGGCCGGCGGGGCAGAGCGAGCCGAGCGCCGCCGCCCGCTCCCCGCCGCCCGCTCCCCGCCGCCCGCTCCCCGCCGCCGCCGCCGCCGCCCCCTGGCCGGGCGCCCGAGCCCTCTCCGCCGCGCCGCTCTGCGCCCGCCCGCCCGCCCGCTCGGCGACTCCGGCCTCCGCCAGGTGCGGCTCGGGCGGTGCAGGTAACCGCGCTGCCCCGGAAACGGGAGGCGGAGCGCCGGGCGCCTGGGCTCCCGGGTCCCCTCCCCGCGCCCGGCGCTGCGAGGGCGGATCCTAGGACCCGAGACGCGCCCCCTCGTGGGACTGTCCGGACCGCCCGCAGCCCCGGGAGCGGGAAGGCGGCACCGCCCCTTACCTGGGCCCGGGACAGCGCGGGGGCCCCGGGTGGCGCGAGCAAGACCCGCTCGCCGCTGCTTCCCAGCGCCCCCGGCTCTCCACCTCGCGCCTAGGCTCTCGGTACAGGTGGCTGGCCCCAAACCCTAAAACTCCCCGCTTCTCTTTTATGTAGAACCAGGAGCCAGACAAGAAGTGGTTAAATGGAAACATTCTTGCGATTCAGGGAACATAAGTTTTCCTGGATCTCTGATCCCTTCCCCCAACACACGCACCATCTGTCTCCCTCTCCTTCCATTCTTCTCCCCGTGTTGTTTCACTGTCTCCCCTACCCTCGTGTTTGCTAACGTAGCTGGCTGTCCTCTGGGTCCCTAAAATTTGGAGTATATGCTACGAATCCCCTCCCCCCCGGGACGGCATCCAAGGGGCGCCAGGGGGAGCCTTTTGTAAAGTAACAGTAACGATGGTCTTGGGAACTGAACGCGGTACTTAGCCTGTCCCAGGCGGGAGGCTAGCAGCTTCGCGTGTGCTTCCGTCCTATGATACTTGGAGGTAGGTACGTTATGGATTTGAGGGAAGAAGAAAGCAAAGCAAAATTCCATTTTGAAGACTATTAGAGGAAACTTTAAAATCAGTATTTCTTGAGAAATTAAAGATATGTAATTAACTATAAAAAGATGAGACCCCAGAGTTAAGGATCAACGGGCTCGTCTGTTTCCTGAACGTTAGTGTTTAACCATTTTTGCCCTGGATATGTGGCAGGAAGCTGGCTTGGAGGAATGGAATGAAGCCCAGTGCAGTGTACCCGCTTGTCCGAGCTCCCACCGTCTCCCAGAGGAGCCAGCATCCCGTGCTGTATGGGCCAGACAGAGTGTGCTGAGCAAGGGAAGGAATCCCATGTTTGCAGTCTCATCTTCTCTTAAGAGATAAGACCCACCATGGCAGTTCCTTACCTCCAAATGCTGTCTGCCAAGTCAGTTACTTCCCTGAGGCCAGACCTAGGGCTCAGTGTTTGGTCCTTCCTACCCCCTACTTCATTCCATAGATGCCATGCACTGAAATCCAGAATCATGGGCCTCAGACTGGCCTGTAACACCCCAAAGTAGGAGTTCCCCCATCCTTTTAAGCGAGGTCCCCGCAGTCCTCTTCACCTCCCCTCCTTTGGCCAAGCTTTCACAATATAAAAACCTATTATTTATTAGAGCAATAGCTCAAAAGCGGAAGCCAACATGGTGCTGAGTGCTTCACACACATGGTCTCATGTAATCTCACAGCAACCCTCCGGAGTACGGCACACTTATACCCATTTTACTGATGAGAAAACTGATGTTCTAAGATGCTATATTATTGGCCAGGGATATAGAACTAATAAGTGGGCTCAGGTCTGTTTGACTCCAGCACTTAACCATTAACCTATACATTTTTTTTAAATTATGCTTCCATTCCTGGACCTACCCATGGTCTGGACCTGGAATATTATGGATGCCAATGAAGGCCTGTCTCTGTTGATGCCTGCTTCCTAAGTATTCTGCTCTGGATCAGTCTGTTTGGGGGCAAACATACCCTATTTTCTCCCCGTGTGACCATGAGTACCTTACTTGACCAAAGTCTCAAGTCTTAGGTCTGAAAAACATAGATTTCCATAGGGCTCGTTTTAATGGCTAAAGGAGGTAAGAAATGTAGAGGGCTTGGTACTCAGTGGTAAGCCATCATCTCGGGCGCCTCATTGTGGTACATTTGGAGCGCCCCCCATGCCTGGCAGCAAGCATGCCCCTATGAAATAGGAACCAACGAAGTATTTTCTGTTTCAAACAGAAAACCTGTGTCCATTCCCTTCCTGAAAACTGTGCATGGTTGCTTGTGACAATCTTCCCAACTGCTGATTTCCTTTTTGTCTTCTTTTGCAACCCAGCCTTCTCACTGGTTGGTATCACTTGTGAAGGGACACACGTGGTAGGCTGCCAAATCCAGCTTGCTCTGCAGCCCAGGTACCCCAGCCGTAGCAGTTTCCAAATGCCTTGTTCCTTTGGACCTTTAGATGTGAGCAGGGGAGGACGAAAGAGAGACCAGAACAGGAATCAACTCCTTAAAGCCTTGGTCTGCTTTTCAGTCCTTTCTACCCTCCATCACCGCACCGCTGCCCCCCCCCAACCCCCCAACAACAAAAGAATCCTAGGTTATCTCCCAGAAGCTGCAAGCCGGGTGAGGTAATAAAACAGATGACTGCCTGCCCCATGTGATGGCGGGTGAATCATCCCCAGGCATTCTCTGAGGCTGAGGACAAACGTGAAAGGGATTAAAGGTAAAACCAGCTCAGCCACGTGATAGGGCAAACTGGACGTTATTCTACAGGTGACTGAACTGCAGGAATGTGAGCCTAAGCAGCCCAGCGTCTCCTGGCCTTCCTCCTGGGGCCGTGTCTGGCTGCCCATGAGCTGTGTCCAAGGCATGGCCGGTACCGGAGCTGAGCTGAGCTGAGCAGATGTGACCACAGGACAAGCCTTTCTTCATTCCCTTTTGCATCCAGGTGGCCCATAGGAGACACCTGAGCCTGGGACAGGTTGCCTTGTTTTTAAAAAAGACGCCCACTTAAGTCCTTTCCCCTACTGCATGAGCAAAGAAGAAAGGCCAGTTTCTACACATGTGTTTCCGAGAATTTTAGAGTGGTAGGGTAACATTTTATGAAGACGGTAAGGAGAGAAATTAAGCTTAAAAAAAAAAAAAAAACCCAGACATGTCAGCAGTAGTTTCTTGTTCCCTTCTACATTCTTCAAGAAAATGGAGACTGGGAAGACCTCTGCTGAGATTTTTCTTCTGACTCCATGCCCATACCTCCCTACCCCATGCAGTCCCTCCCACGCACCCCAGAGAAGGCATACAGCTCCATTTCTATGATTGAGCCCAGAATGTCCTTTTTCTATAGCTATGAATTATTTGAAGTTCATAATTGGGCCCATGGACTGTTCTTTTCAATGATGAGAAAACATGTCCTAAGCCAGAGAAAATTAGGATGGAAGAAACACTGGCATTACGAGAGCCAAGGCAGAAGAGATGGCTTTTTAATGTATTTCTGGGTCCCCAGTCCTTAATACAGTGCCTGAAAATAAATCGAGATAAGTCTAGCACAGCCTACTCACTTTCCACGTAGATGGAGTGTCTATGACTAGTGACTCATTGTCCTGGTTCTTACTAGTTCCATTTTACAGTTGTGTAAACTGAGACTCCAAGAAGCAAAGTGACTTTCTTATACTGACATAGTAAACAACAGAGCCAAGATTCCAACTCAGCTCATTCCAGTAAGTAGGTCTTGGCTTCTGAATTCACAGCTCTATGGGCTCTAGGGTGTCAATAAGGGAAGAACTTTAAGACACAGAAGAGCATCCAGGAGATTATCTTGAACTCCTGCTTTCAATTTGGACTGCTTATCTCCTTGGAGTGGTTAGAGGTGGGAGGGGGCGTGTGAGGTCATAGCTGAGTTTACAATGAGAGGGCAGGGTCGAGGTGGGAGTTCTGAGTTCTAAGCAGAAGAGAGACCAACCTGATTCTTGACCTCTGCTGGTGCTGTCAATGAGATCCACCTGGGGGGTTAGGCATCAGGGGATTTAATAGGCTAAGTTTTCTCTGGAAGGAGGAACATTTTTCTCCCTATGATGCTTGCCTCCTGCCTCCCCCTTTCCTTCCCTTGTTTGTTCATTTACTAACTGAACTGGTCTTTTCTTTTCTTTTCTTTCTTTCTTTTCTTTCTTTTCTTTTCTTTTCTTTCTTTCTTTCTTTCTTTCTTTCTTTCTTTCTTTCCTTTCTTTTTCTTTCTTTCCTTCTTTCTTTCATTTTAGATAAAGTGAGCACAGTGGGGGGTGAGGGGCAAGGAGAAAGGAAGAAGCAGGCTCTCTGCTAAACCAGGCTCTATCCCAGGACTCTGGGATCATGACCTGAGCCAAAGGCAGATGCTTAATGGACTGAGCCACCCAAGTGCCCTGAACTGGATTTCTTCTGGACAGGAAGCTACCCCAGGGCTGGCAGGAGAGGTTTTGACGCTCTCGTCTAAGAATCTTCTGGGTCCTGGGGGCTGGGAACTGTTGAGTCTTTCATCTAAGAATCTTCTGGGTCCTGGGGGCTGGGAACTGTTGAGTCTTTCACCCTAGGATGAGGAAATGAATTATGCACTGAAGGAGGAGGTGGAGATGAAATCTTAGTTTCAAGGGTGGGGGTGTGGAGAGGAGAAAGAAAGTGTGAGCAGAGGGAGGGAGTTCCTGCAGAGCAGTGCTTTTCTCTACCCCCACCCCAGCAGTAGAAGAGGAGCCCTGGTGGGAAATAGGGGTGGGGGTGCGAGTGCAGTACCCAGCAGGCTGGCTGAAAGAAGCCTCTCTCGGGTATTTATAGAGCTTGCATCGCCATGGTACCCAGGCTCTGAAATTAAACTCCAGCCCAACTGCTTAGAGACGGATGGAATGAAAGGCTCTTTACCTGTCCACTGCTCATGGTTTGATGCCCCATTCTCCGAATTTTAGATTTAGTCTGAGTGAATTTTGTAAAATACTAGCAAGAAGAGTGTAGGGTTGGGGCTTAAACCCAGAAAAGGTGCCTCAGCAGGGGGGCTAGGTGGAGTAGTGGAAAATACATAGGTGGGGTGGTGGTGGTGGTGGTGGTGGTGGTGGTGGTGCATGGAACCTTGCATGAA